AAGAAGCTCTGGAACCTCTCTGGGGCAGCCTGGGGGTGGGGCAGGGATCCTGCCTGGATCCGAGATCCAAAAAAATCCCCATTATTTCCACTTCCACGTCCGAAGCGGAGTCGTTTTCGCAGCCCTTCGGTGCCTTTTAACTTCTCTTTATCCCCTAACGCGTAAGAAGGCCGACAGCGTTCTCCCACCCCGCCGGGATGTCGGCGGAGCGTTGCCGAGAGCTCTCGGCCATGGTACAGGTGTGAGACGCGGGAGCGTGGGGGCTGAGCACGGCCGTCACTGACGCGGTTTCCCCGCCAAGCGAGGCGGTGCCCAAAGGTCTGGTGTTATCCCCGGTTGGGGGTCCTGCGTAGGGAGGGAGCCGATCGGAGGTGGACTGGGCTGCACGGGACCCTCGATCCCCTGTCCGCATCCGACAGGACACCAAACAGTACAGCGCATCCTTCACAGGATTTATAATTTTATTTATTTTTACATTGCATTTTTCCAAGGCGAACCACACATTTCCTAAAACCCACCCAAAACAAATTTATAATTCTTTTTTGGGGTTTTTTTCATTGCATTTTTACCAAGACAAACCGCGCATTTCCTAAAACCCACCCAAAAAGGGCAGGGGAGAAGGAGCTTTGCCGCCGCTCCCGCGGGTCAGCAGGGGCAGAAATCACCCCACAGACCTATCGACGCCGGTGCGGACCTCGGCAGCACCCACGTGCCGGTTCCACACGGAGTATTTCGGAATCCCTCTCGTCAAGCTGATGGGCGCAAACGAAGTTTGCCGTGAAAAAACCGTACTGACTTCACCGAGCGCGTTTCCATTGCGTTCTTTGGTGCCTTTCTCAGCGCGGGGCTGGGGAGAGGTGGACGCCAGCCTTCGGCTCGGCCCGAGCTCCCGGGGGATGCCGAGGGGAAGACGCGGAACACCCAGCGCGTGGGCTGAGATCCTCGGGTCGCTTCGGTTCGGGGTTTTTTGGTTGAGGGCTGGGAAATAAACCGCCAAGGGTTTTATTTTTACTTCTCGGCGGCGTTCCCCCCGTCGGTTCTCAGGGCGA